GTGGCAGTTACTAATCTATTTTCATTACCATAAAAATTCCATGGTATAATATATATTTGTCTATTCTTCTGTGATTAACACTGGGCTATTATGAAGAGTGCCTCTATCAGGATGCATTTATTTTGGGTTTTCACATTGGAGTGGCAATTCAGGATCATAGGGGTGCTCACCTTTAGCAGTATTCCCAAAGAATTTTCCAAAGTAGTTGTGCTATTTCACATTTCCACCAGCACTGTATAAATGTTCCAGATACTACACATTCTCACCAACACTTGGTATTAACTGTCTTCTTAATTTTAGCCATGGTGGTTGGTGTGTATTGGCTTGTCATTGTGGATAACATTTGTCTGATGGTTTATGAGGTTGGGCATTTTTGTATGCTTTCTAGCCATTTGGATGTTCATTTGTCTTTCCTTACTTCCTTTTTCTTTTCTTTCTTTTTTTAAAAAATGAAGTTCCTATTCCTTTCTCTTGTTCATTTGTCTGTTGGATTCTTTCTTTTATTCGTAGAAATTCTCCTTACACTCTGGACATGAGTCCATTGCCTGTTATATTTGTGACAAATATATTTCCCATTTGTGACTTATCTTTTCCCTCTCTTATTGAATTTCTTAATTTTACTATCATTCAATGTATTGATCTTCTCATTTTGGGGTAGTGTTTTTTTCTATTGAAGAAATCTTTACCTGCCTTCTGAGGAGCTTTTAAAATCTACTTATGCTTACTAAACCCCTGTAGCTGGAGTCAGGCCAAATGTTGGTCTTGCTAAAGACCAACCTGGAAATTGATATATATTTTATGCTAGAAAAAGAACTAGGCACTTTCATGATGTTATTGTCTATTTTGTGAGAAAATATCATCATCATTTTCCCAGGCCAGGATGTGATATGTGTGCAGCATAATGCCATAGCTCCCCAACATCGGGAGCTCTTCCTGCATTGGGGAGGTGGGCCTGATGCCACAATGGGGTCAGGTGGGTGCTAATTCCCAATTCCACAGGTGCAGGGCTTGGAAAACGGAGGAGAGCCAGGTCAGAGCTGTGGTCCTGCAATGGACTGAGGATATAGAAGAGTCTGTTTGTATTGCCATGGGGGTCCAGAGACTGCAGGAGGTGGGAGAGGAGCAGATAGAAGAGAGATCCTGTGTGAGGAAGAGCAGAGCATGAGGGGTGAGGCCCCAAGAAAAGGGCAAGAAGGGAGGGACCTTTTGCTTAGAGCTCAGTATTACAGGCATTTAGAGGTGAGGGCAGAGCCACTGGCTCAAAATGTACTATCTCTGGCATTTGTCATTTTGGTGCAAGGACTGGAAGAAAGTTCTGAACTGTACAGAGCCCACCCAGGAATGGCAGACACCACAAAGCTTGTGGATGGGCAGTCAGGGCTGTCTTGTGGGCATGGGCTCCAGGGCATGTGAGCCACGCTGGAGCTGTGGATAGAGCCAGGCCTCCCAGGAGGGGCCCACACCAGCCTTTCTCTCTCACTCTTTCTGAATCAAGAATGTTGAGCACACAATGAAAAGCCCAGCTTACAAAAAGAAAGTATTTGCCTGATTGAAGGGGTGGCCTGCCCCTCCACACCTGTGGGTGTTTTTCATCAGGTGGGAGGAGAGACTGAGAAAAGAAATAAGACACAGAGACAAAGTATAGAAAAAGAAAAGTGGGACCAGGGGACCGGCACTCAGCATACGGTGGACCCGCACTGGCACTGGTCTCTGAGTTCCCTCAGTATTTATTGATCACTATCTCTACCATCTCAGAGAGGGGGATGTGGCAGGACTATAGGGTAATGGTGGGGAAAGGGTCAGCAGGAAAACATGTGAGCAAAGATCTCTGTGTCATAAATAAGTTTAAGGAAAGGTGCTGTGCCTTGATGTGCATGTAGGCCAGATTTATATTTGACTTTACACAAACATCTCAGTGCATTAAGGAGCAGTATTGCCACCAGCATGTCTCACCTCCAGCCATAGGTAGTTTTCTCCTATCTCAGTAAACAGAACGTATGATCAGGTTTTACACCGAGACATGCCATTCCCAGGGATGAGCAGGAGACAGATGGCTTCGTCTTATCTCAACTGGAAAAAGTCCTTCCTCTTTTACTAATCCTCCTCAGCACAGACCCTTTATGGGTGTCAGGCTGGGGTACGGTCAGGTCTTTCCCTTCCCATAAGGCCATATCTCAGGTTATCACATGGGGAGAAACCTTGGACAACACCTGGCTTTCATAGGCAGAGGTCCCTGCCGCGTTCTGCAGTGTATCGTGTACCTGGGTACTTGAGATTAGAGAATGGTGATGACTTTTAACAAGCATACTGCCTTCAAGCACTTTTTTAACAAAGTACATCCTGCACAGCCCTAAATCCATTAAACCTTGAGTCAACACAGCACATGTCTCTGCAAGCACAGAGTTGGGGCTAGGGTTGCAGATTAACAGCATCTCAAGGCAGAAGAATTTCTCTTAGTACAGAACAAAATGGAGTCTCTTATGTCTACTTCTTTCTACATAGACACAGTCACAGTCTGATCTCTCTTTCTTTCTCCCACACCTGATGAGGTTAGAACTGGTATTATAAGTAGTTTGCCAATCCATATATTGTGATGGAAAGCAGATCAGTGGTTGCTTGGGGTGGAGCATGGCAGGAAAGGCAGGAGGAAGGGATCACAAAGGAGCACAAGATAATCTATGGGGGATGGACATGCTTGCTGTCTTGATAATGGTGATGGTGTCATGGGCGCACAAGTCCTTCTATTATATGTCAATCACCCCTCATTGAGGCTGTTATGCATCTTCCCAACACACACGCATGCGTGCACACACACACACAGTTGTAATGAAATGGTTCAAGATACCCTTGAGTTGCACAAGTACACGCTCTCCAAGCCTGCCCATTTGGCTCTTCCAAGCATCCCAGTCATGAGGGAGAAAGACCAACATTTGGCCTGACTCCAACTGCAGCACGGCTGCTGACACTACTTCAGGTTCAAAGTTCCAGGACTCCATGAAGCCCCAACTTGAGGAGAGAGGCTGCCAGAGGTACACAGAAGGAAAGACTACTAACCCCACATCTGTCTCACCCCCTAGCTACTACACACAGGCAATCACTGGAGCTTCTGACTTGAACTTTAAAATCTGTGGGCCCAAGACAGGAGACATCCCTCCAAACCCCTCTCCCTGCATTCATGGGAAAAGTGGCAATTGACAGTGGAGGAGAGGATTAAAATACTAAGGGAATGAAACACATCTGAGTGTCCTCAGTTCATTGCTGAGAACGGCTGTTGGAATGATAACCACACACCTTAGAGAACAAGAATTGTGGGTAATTTTCCTTTCTCCAAACAGTGTGTTTCTTTACTAGTTTCTTACTGCAGGAGGCTTTAAAGCTCTATGGAATATCTTCAGTAATAAGCAACAAAACGAAAAATAAAAAACAATGGTAACTGTCACAGCTAACAGATTGCTATTAGCAAAGATTTTCAGCAAGGTGTAAAAATCAACAGACTGTATTTTTACCTAGTGATCCCTGCAGTCTATGAAGAGGTGCCTCCAAGGTAGTGAAGACACTGACCTGCTATCATGGAATATTCCTGCCCTGGTCCAGGAGGCCTGAGTTGACCCCGTCCACTTCAGTTCCTCTGTGAATTGATCGACTCTGGTGCTGATCACTTGTCCCCTCTGGTAATCGACAGCTGTTGCCAGGCAGCTGACCAAGGATGTTGCTGAGGACCAGATAGGGGCAAACAGGCTCCCACCCTGGGACCATTAGCACAGGGCTCTCACCATCTGAGCACCAGCTCCAGAGAAAAAGAAGAAAGAGTTGACAATGTTACCATTGGTGTGGAGTCTTCAGTTCTTGTCTTCTTGGAGGAAAGAATTCAGCCAAGAAGTAAGCCGTAACAGTGAAGCAGCTGCAGAATTCATTTAAAGAGACAGTACACTCTGAAAGCCAAGTCAGAGTGGGCTGCTTGGAAAAAGAGACAGCGCTGATCAGCTGGGGAAGCTCCCTTATGAGGGTCTTGTATGATTATTCATGAAAGGGGTTGTGAAGGGGTATTACTAGCAAGCATGTTTTGGGTGGTCTCCTGGGCGCACATGCTCTATGGTGATACATCCTATACATAAATCACATGTCTTATTAATGTCTGAAATCGCCACCCAGGGGTATGTTTTTTACCATTATAATGAGTAAATGTTACCTTTAGGGCAAGCCAATTTGAAGCGTGCATGCTCGCTATTAGGGAAAGTCCCTACTGAAGTTATCTCCTGTCAGGGTCAGATAAGTCCCAGTTAGGACCAGAGAAGCCGAACCTCAAGTCGAGATGTGAACTTGGGTGACTGAGGGTCTGAGGAGTGAATTGTTTGCTTCACAGTAAAATCTAAAACATTTATGCAGTACGCAAGTCAATGCATCTTCAACACAGGAGTGTCCAGCCTGGCAAACCAGGGGCCACCCTAGGGAAAGATCCAATGACATCACAATCTTGAAACAGGAACGAGAGGAACAAGGCTGGTGGACATCTCTCTGAGGGCATAAGTTTCCAAATATTTGAGCAAGGCCTCCTTTGCAAATCTGGGTGATGGTTATCAAGACAGAGACAAGAGGTATCCAGCAACAGGTGTATTTTATAAAAATTAGTTATGTAAACATGCTTGTAAAACTTAAACCACCACAGCAATGTATTTGAAAAGTAAACGTCTCTCATTATTACACCCACTAGAGATAACTAGAGATGGCTAAACAAAAAGCTTGGTGCGTGTTTTGTGTACACTGACTGCCGCCGGAACCTTCCAAGTCTATTTGGCTTCTGATTTGGATAGGGAGAGTCAAGCACCGAGCTTGACTCAGGAGGGAGAGCACTATCCAAATGAATGTAGCTCCAGTATGAATAGCAAGAGTTTATATAGACAGGGACTCGCCTAAAAAGTTATCTGATTTTATTCAATTATTGAACATGATAGTAAAAGTTTGGATAACAAATGATAGCTGCAAAAACACCCATGATCATTTCCGCTTCTGCCTCCTTCTTTCTGGACAAGATGGCCACACTGGTGGTATCAGCAAGTGCTCCTCCAGCCACGCCAGCCGCAGCCCCGGTGGCGGCACCAGTATTGGCCTCAGCCTCAGTCCCAGCGCCAACGCCAGCACCGGCTGGGGCTCCGGTTCCCGCTGCGGCTCCAGCCGCATCCTCAGACCCTGCGGTAGCAGCGGCTATAACTACCGCTCCTGGCCAGACCCCGGCCTCAGCGCAAGCTCCAGTGCAGACCCCAGCGCCCGCTCTGCCTGGTCCTGCTCTCCCAGGGCCCTTCCCCGGCGGCCGTGTGGTCAGGTTGCACCCAGTCATTTTGGCCTCCATTGTGGACAGCTACGAGAGACGCAATGAGGGTGCTGCCTGAGTTATTGGGACCCTGTTGGGAACTGTCGACAAGCACTCAGTGGAGGTTGCGAATTGCTTTTCAGTGCCACACAATGAGTCAGAAGATGAAGTGGCTGTTGACATGGAATTTGCTAAGAACATGTATGAACTGCATTAAAAAGTTTCTCCAAATGAGCGCATCCTGGGCTGGTAGGCTACAGGCCATGACATCACAGAACACTCTGTGCTAATCCATGAGTACTACAGCTGAGAGGCCCCCAACCCCATCCACCTCACTGTGGACACAAGTCTCCAGAACAGCCGCATGAGCATCAAAGCCTATGTCAGTACTTTAATGGGTGTCCCTGGGAGGACCATGGGAGTGATGTTCACACCTCTGACAGTGAAATACGCATACTATGACACTGAATGCATCGGAGTTGACCTGATCATGAAGACCTGCTTTAGCCCCAACAGAGTGATTGAACTCTCAAGTGACTTGCAGCAAGTAGGAGGGGCATCAGCTGGCATCCAGGATGCCCTGAGCACAGTGTTGCAATATGCAGAGGATGTACTGTCTGGAAAGGTGTCAGCTGACAATACTGTGGGCCGCTTCCTGATGAGCCTGGTTAATCAAGTACCCAAAATAGTTCCCGATGACTTCGAGACCATGCTCAATAGCAACATCAATGACCTGCTGATGGTGCCCTACCTGGCCAACCTCACACAGTCACAGATTGCCCTCAATGAAAAACTTGTAAACCTGTGAATGGACCCCAAGCAGTACGCCTGCTGGTATAGGTCTTAAACCCAGGACTCAGAAGTGAAGGAGAAATGGGTTTTTTGTGGTCTTGAGTCACACTGAGACAGTCAGCTGTGTGTGACTCTAATAAACATAGCCTACCTTTTGTAAATAAACACACACACACACACACACCTGCTGAGAACACAAACTGCTTCTAATATTCATAAACCAGTAAGTATCTGAAACAGGTCTCAATCAATTTAGAAGTGTATTTTGCCAAGGTTAGGGACAGTTGGAAGGAAAAAACACAGAATCATAGAAACAATCTGTAGTCTGTGCCTTTCTCCAAAGATGATGTTGAGGCTTCAATATTTAAAGGGGAAGAGAGTGCTGGAGGGGAAAGAGGAAGGGTGAGCTTAGGAGCAAAAGCAAAGTCAGCTTCTCTCTTGACTCAGCTTTCAGCTTAACTTTCTCCTTTTGGCAGAGTGGTATGGGGTCCCAAGTTTCTATTTTCCTTTCACACATTGGAAACTAGACTTGATTTTGCTTAGAAGTGTGACATTTATTTATACTTCTAAACAAAATCAAGGCTAGTTTTCAATTGCCCATTTTCAGAGAATGAGAAAGCCCAAGAGAGCTCATGACTCCTTCCCATTTCCTTGGGTTATGGAGAACAGGACCCTGGCCAAGTTCTGCAGAGCCTAGGGACAGTGGATGAGAGAATGCTGTTTCTAAGCACGATTTGGTTGCTGTCAGATCCCTGCTCCTAAACTTACTAGGCGGTGACTGGTCAACAAAAAGAGTCAAACTCTAAAATATTTGAAGAGATTTATTCTGAGTCAAATATAAGGGACCAATGGCCCATGACACAGCCCACAGGACACCCTGAGGACATGTGCCCAAAATGGTCAGGGTACAGCCTGGTTTTACACATTTTAGGGAGACATGAAACATCAGTCAATACACGTAAGGTATATATTGTTTCAGTCTGGAAGCGCAGGATAACTCGAAGTGGGGACTTCCAGGTTATAGGTAGATTTTAAAATTTTCTGATTGGCAATTGGTTGAAAGAGTTATTATCAGTAGAAAGGAATGTCTGGGTTAAGATACGGGGTTGGAGAAACCTAGATATTATCATGCAGATAAAGCCTCCAGGTAGCAGGCTTCAGAGAAAATAGATGTTTTTTGTTTTTGTTTTTTGTTTTTTGTTTTTTTGAGATGGAGTCTTGCTCTTGTAGCCCAGGCTGGAGTGCTATGGCATGATCTCGGTTTACCGCAACCTCTGCCTCCCTGGTTCAAGCGATTCTCCTGCTTCAGCCTCCTGAGTAGCTGGGATTACAGGCATGTGCCATCATTGCTGGCTACTTTTGTATTTTATAGTAGAGACAGCATTTCTTCATGTTGGCCAGGCTAGTCTCGAACTCCCAACCTCAGGTGATCCACCCATCTCGGCCTGCCAAAGTGCTGGGATTACAGGCATGAGTCACTGCGCCCGGCTGAAAATAGATGTTAAATGTTTCTGATCAGACTCTTAGGTCTGGTGTTGACGTCTTCAGGTCTGTGTTGATGTTAATGCTGGAGAAATATAATAGGCCTGTCCAACGCTCTCTTCCATCATGGCCTGAACTAGATTTTCAGGTTCACTCCGGAATCCCTATGCACGAGAGGAAGGGTACATTCAGATGGTTGAGAATTTTATTTTTGGTTTACATGCTTCCCCTTATGGCTAATATTTGCCAGAGTCAACATCAATGGCTACTAATTTTTTTTCCCATAGCACTGCTTGGGTGGCATGGCTGCCTGCCCTGTGTCCATCCTGCCCTTCAGTGAGACTCCCTATGGTGGAGGGACTTAAAGTGAAAAGACTTATAGACAAGTAAGTGTTCTAGGCTGGATACGAATGGACTTGGACAGGCATTCATTACCCCTTAAAAGATTTATTTAAAGTAAAGAGCCAAAAGCAAAAAGCCAATGGTGAGTTTAGAAAAATTGACTTTTCTTTAACTTCTATGCATTGAGCTACTATAATCTTGGTTTTAATTACAGACCTATGGTGATTAACTATACAAAACATAGCATTTTTCTAAAAAATAATTTTATATGTCTAAATATATATATCTGCAAAACTTATAACTGGGGGTGGTATACCCAGGAGGCTTGGTCATGAGGTAACTTTATCCTCTTAATAATTATTTTCTTTTAATTCCAGGAAGCAGTACATTTTTTATGGTTGGGGTGGATAAAAAGGTGCCACATAATAGCTGAGAAAGCAAAGTTGTTTGTTTTACAAGCTGTTTAGGCACCTGTGTATCCTCCTTGATTTGGAGAGTCTGAGCTAACTGTATCCCTCAAAACCAGCCCTTACAATCTCATGCACTCATCTCTTCTGCAACAGTCTCTGGGCCTAGAGGGAGGGTCCTTGCATAGTTGTAGCAGTAGGACATTTGCAATGAAAAACAGATCAGGTCCAGTGGGATGCCAAATGATGATTTGCATTTCTAGTCTTCACGACGCCATGATTGTTGTTGCATTTGAAGTGAGACAAGGAGAGATAAATAACGTTAATATTTTGACCATCAGAAGAGTATTTGTGTGTCAAGAGAAAAAATACCCTATTTTATTAGGTCAGCAACTGGAAATATGAAAAATATGATAATCTTAGAGTCATTAGAAGATTATTATAGCTATGAAAACTTTCAGGACTCTCAGGATTATCTTGGTTTTACAGGGTCTTCTTTGATTCTGTATGAAATTTAAAGTAGATTTTTCTAATTCTGTGAAGAATGTCAGTGGTAGTTTGATGGGAATAGCATTGAATCTATAAATTACTTTGGGGAGTATGGCCATTTTTATAGCTTTGACTTTTCCTATCCATGAGGATGGAATGTTTTTCCATTTGTTTATGTCCTCTTATTTCTTTGAGCAGTGGTTTGTAGTTCTCCTTGAAGAGGTCCTTCACATACTTTATTAGCTGTATTTCTAGCTATTTTATTCATTTCTTTAGCAATTCTGAATGGGAGTTCATTCATGATTTGTCTCTCTGCTTGTCTATTGTTGGTGTATAGGAATGCTTGTAATTTTTGGACATTGATTTTGTATTATGACACTTTGTTGAAGTTTCTTAACAGTTTAAGGGGTTTGGGGTTGAGATTATGGAGTTTTCTAAATATAACAGCATATTGTCTGCAATCAGAGACAATTTGACTTCCCCTCCTTCTATATGAATACCCTTCATTTCTTCCTCGCGCCTGATTGCCCTTGCCAGAACTTCCTATACTGTGTTGAATAGAAATGGTGAGAGGGCTTCCTTGTTTTGTACCAGTTTTCAAAGGCAATGCTTCCAACTCTTGCCCGTTGACTGTGATATTGGCTGCAGGTTTGTCATAAATAGCTCTTATTATTTTGAGATATGTTCCATCAATACCTACTTTATTGAGAGTTTTTAACATGAAGGGGTGTTGAATTTTATCAAAGGCCATTTCAGCATCTATTGAGATAATCACGTTGTTTTTGCCTTTGGTTATGTTTATGTGATAGATCATGTTTATTTGTGAACGCTGAAACAGTCTTGCATCCCAGGGATGAGACTGACTTGATTGTGGTGGATAAGTGTTTTGATGTGCTGCTGAATTCGGTTTGCTATTATTTTATTGAAGATTTGTGCATCAATGTTCGTCAGGGATATTGGCCTGAAGTTTGTGTGTGTGTGTGTATGTGTGTGTGTGTGTCTCCCTGGTTTTGGTATCAGGATGATGCTGACTTCATAAAATGAGTTAGGGGGAAGTCACTCCTTTTCAATTGTTTGGAATAGCAAAAAGAACAAAGCTGGAGGCATCACACTACCTGACTTCAAACTATACTACAAGGCTACAGTAACCAACACAACATGGTACTGGTACCCCAAACAGATCTATAGACTAATGAAACAGAACAGAGACCTCAGAAATCACACCACACATCTACATCCATATGATCTTCAACAAACCTGACAAAAACAAGCAATAGGGAAAGAATCTCCTATTCAATAAATAGTGCTGGGAAAATTCACTACACATATGCAGAAAATTGAAACTTGAACCTTTCCTTAAACCTTAAATTTAAGACTTAAAACCTCAAACATAAGACTTAAATGTCAAGCCCCAAACCATAAAAACCCTAGAAGAAAACCTAGGCAATACCATTCAGGACATAGGCATGAGAAAAGACTTCATGATGAAAATGCAAAAAGCAACTGCAACCGAAGCCAAGATTGACAAATGAGGTCTAATTAAACTAAAGAGCTTCTGCACAGCAAAAGAAACTATCATCAGTATCATCAGGGTGAATAGGCAAACAACAGAATGGGAGAAAAGTTTTGCAATCTATCCATCTGACAAAGGTCTAGTTTTGCAATCTACCCATCTGACAAAGGTCTAATATCCAGAATTTACAAGGAAATTAAACACATATACAAGAAGAAAACAAACAACCCAATAAAAAAAAATGGGCAAAGGACATAAACAGACACTTCTCCAAAGAAAACATTTACATGGCCAACAAACATGTTTAAAAAAGCTCAACGTCACTGATTATTTGAGAAATGCAAATCAAAACTACAATGAGATACCATCTCACACCAGTAAGGATGGCGATTATTAAGAAACAAAGAAACAGTAGAAGCTGACCAGGCTGTGGAGAAATAGGAATGTTTTTATACTGTAGGTGGGCATGTAAATTGGTTCAACCATTATGGAAGACAGTATGACAATTCCTCAAGGATCTAAAACCAGAAATACTATTTGACCCAGCAATCCCATTACTGGATATATACCCAAAAGAATATAAATTATTCTACTATAAAGACATATGCACACATATGTTTATTGCAGCACTATCTACAATAGCAAAGTCATGGAACTAGTCCAAATGCCCATCAATGATAGACTGGATGAACAAAATGTAGAACATATACATCATGGAATACTATGCAGCCATAAAAGGAATGAGATCATGCCCTTTTCAGGGACGTGGATGAAGTTGGAAGCCATTATCCTTAGCAAACTAAAACGGGAACAGAAAACCAAACACCACATGTTTTCACTGCTAAGTGGAAGTTGAACAGTGAGAACACATGGACACAGGAAGCAGAAAAGCACACATCAGGGCCCGTTGGGCTGTGGGAGGTAAGGGGAGG